ATTCGTTCATCACTTTCAAAATCATGTGAAGAATTTATTAAAGTTGTTTGTGGTACTGTATTAGCTCGAGTTAATAGATGTTTTTGATTTACATGACGTGATTGATCAAAATTAAATGCTAGATTCGTATGAGCTAGTGGAAGTAATGTTTGTATAGGTATTATATCATGACGAAGAGGAGTTGGTGGTGTATGAGATAGAAAACCTGATCGTTCACCCGATGAGAGAGGTATAAGAATCGAACGAGGTAATAAACCTTTTGTAACTAGAAACAAATCAATAGATCTTCAAAGACAATCAATTTCTGGGATAGACATACTTCCATTATCGACAAACCAATTCAAATCATTTGGATCTCTGCTATTCATATCGTTTTGATTAACCACAGCAACAAGATCACCCTATTTAAATCAATTAAAATTTAGAGATACTCAAGAGCCCGTTAAATTGACAGAGTTAAGGCTTGGTTAACGTCTGGAAGACAACCGTTAGAAATTTAGTGAGAAGTACTACTGATAAAATTCTTATCGGTATATGAAGGAGTTTTAGTTGATTAACTATTCGTTCTACTTACACTTCGAACATTCATCTCCGTTGTTCGATTATTTGTTCCATTTGTATAATTTCGGATAACAGTAAAGAGATTCTTTTCAGCATAACGATTTCTTAATAAACGTCTCATTTCATCTGTTTGCATATATGTATCCTATTTATGAACAAAAAAATGAAAAGTAATTAACAAAAGACTATATGTATATTTGCAAACCTTATCACTGTTATAAACATTATTCATTAGAGAAGATATTCGAGTTGGTGATAAATTTTTTAATTTATCTGAAAAATTCTTTGCTGTTATTGTTAATTGAAATAGTTGTTCAGCAGCTGAACTATTCTTTTTAGTAAATCTTTCAATGATTTGTAACCAACTTAATTGTCCGCAAGTAGTAGATGATGTTGTCTAGAAAAATTGAATAGTAAAAATAATGAGGAATAAAATATGAATTTTCTTACCAGATTAAGTACATATTGAATATTTGTTTTCATGTGTTGCATTAAACGAAGATGTCCACTAATAAATGCTTTTAAACATATAGATAGAATTTCACAACTATGTTCATATAAAATAGGTAATTCTTCTAATAATTGACTATTCAATGCTTCATAAGTCTTTTTAGCAAGATCAAGGACTTGTTTAGCCTAGATTAGAATATAAAACAAGGTTAAAACTAAAGTACAAAATATTTCAAATACTTGTCTGGATTGTTGATCTTTAACTTTTTCATAAGCTGATTGAGCACTATCATAATCTAATAATTTATCATGTCGTTTAGAAATTAAATTTGATGGTAATACAAATAATTTTATCAAGGTATTTATTGGATTTGCAACACATGATTCCATATGTGTACACTAGATTATAAAGATTATCAAAAAAGAATAAAATAAGAAAAATAATTTACAAATTCTGTAAAAGCATTTTCAAGTAATGAACGTTTTGATCGAGTAAATTGTTGAGGTAAATCAGGCATTTTATCGGATAATAATTCTTCGAAATCTTCAGCAACATTTACTTGAGTAACAAACGTTTCCTAAATTACAATAAAATGTGTTTTCATCGAATCATATAAGTTTTTAGTATATTCAGAGTTGAGTCAAATGAGAAATTACAATATTTTTTTGTAAGTGAAAAAATAACCCATAATCTTCTATACATTTTGTCTACTATATCAAATTGCGCAAGTCTCATTTTAAAACTTTTAATATATGTTCATATCATTGAAATTTATCTTCTGTCTCTTTTTTTTGTAAATGAAGGTAAAAATTATTCTAAATATATTTACCTTGAGTGCTTCCATGCAAGTATAAGCATTTCGAACAAATAATCTTAAAAATTTATCAATAGCCCGAAACCTTTGCTCCTCAAAATTGAATCTTTCATCAATTGTATGTGCTGATAAACCAAATGCACTTGATAAACGCATACTTATTCGAGCAGATTTTTTTCTCATTGTATGCATATTTAATTTGTATAATTTATTTGTCAATGCTTCATCTTTGTCACGTCGTTGATATTTCGAAACTAAATGAGAAGAACAATGTTGCTGTTCTTGTCTTATTAAATTAGCTGATGATAATCTAGGTAATGGTGGCATCGATGTAGTACGTCGATATGTACTTATATGATATGGTTCCATATTATCATCAGTTACATTAGCATTACTTGTACTATGTACAAGTATAAAACGTCTACGTTCTATCAAGGCCATTTTTATGTATGTGAAGACAAAACAATATATATGTATAAATGTGAGCCGATGAAATTGAAGATATATACGCTTTTGATCGTATGTATGTATGTAACTGATTATGCAAAAAATGTTTGTAGATCTCTTTCTCTTTGTTATTCTCATATCTGCTCATTTTTGTCGATTGAAAAAAATTCCCTTCCTTCATTCTTCTTTCGTTTTTATTTCTCTCCTTGGCTCTCTCTCTCTTCCTCTTTTGCTATTTACAAGGACATTTAAATGCTCAAAGTAAATATAATATGTAAGTAGATGAGCACGTACCAATTTCTTTTCGTCGTTTATATTCATTGATAAAATTCGCCATTGATATTAGATTTGTTATAGAATCTTTCAATTGAATATAATCAATATGATTACTATTTGTATTCTATTATAAAAACAAAAAAAAAATGATAAATTAATTGTTTGTTTTTCAAATAAAAATACTTTAAATAATTCATTTAATATAAGTGGATATCGAACAATACGTTGAATAGGACGTAATAAAATAGCGGATACATCAAAGACATTTGGTTTTAAAAGACGAAGTTTACAGAGACCATCTTGAAGGTATTGTTGGAGTTTTTCATCATTACTATGCTAAAAATTTTCGTATATATATATATATTTATTTATTCGGAGGTAGAAAAATGAACGTCAAAATTTTACCTTACGTAAATAAATATGTACCCATTCATGATTTCGACAGTATTCTGCATAAATATTTTTCAATTGATCAATTAATCCGTTAAAAACTTGTCCAATACAACAATGTGCATCATCGCCCTGTTGATTTTTTGTATATTCATATTCAAGAAGATTAAGAAGACGACGTGTTATATCACTTATATCACGTATATTACCAAATAGAAGTGTTTTATTAACACTTTCTGGCTAAATATATTATAGTTCGAAGAAAACAAAAATATATTGAATAGAGAAAGAAATCTTACACATAGAATCGAATTTGGACTAAGAAATGTTTCAATAAGTAAATCAAGATCACGTGAATAATCTCGTTCAGTTGATAGTAATTCACCTATAACATGTTGACGACGACGTTGAATAATACTAAAGAATAGTTCAAAATTTGTTACTAAGACTTTACAAAAAATTTACTTTATATCAGATTTATCTATTTGATCATCAATTAATAATTGATCTAAAATTGAATTATAATATTAAATATGAAGTTCTATGATTCTTCTTACCATGTAAATTTCGTAATTCTAAATCGAAAAAATCAGTTCGTGTTGATGAGGTTTCAATATCACAACTATCACGTGTTGATAATGTGTCACCATGATTTAAACTTTTCTCAAATGGATTATTTATTACACGATATGATATCTATATAAATCAATATCAATATACTCAATTCAAATTTTTATATAATTTGATTCACTTGCCTGCTGTTGTTCACTTTTTATTTGTATTGGAGGCCTTGGTGCTGGTCGTGTTGGTCCTCGCGATTGTGGAAATGATGAAGAGAATGTTGGAACGAATGGTGGTGGCGGAGGAGGTGGTGGCAGCTGTGGTCGAAGAGAAAGACGAGGTTTAACAGGTGGTGGATCATCAAACGATGAAAGAGATGAAGTTGATGATGGCGTATGACAGACATTCTGTGTTATTTTAGTTGATGAAAAAAGAAATTGATTATTTGTTGAAAAACTATGTAAAGGTAATGATGTGTAAAGTGATTGTACATCAAGAATATTATTATTATTGTTCGAATTAATATAACTTGATGTTAATGAGTTCGGATATTGTTGAGAGTAATTTATTGGCGATGAAGAATAAATAGCAGGGGGCGGTGGAGGTGGTAGCGGTGGTATTACTGATGATTGTGCACATCCAAAACGAGCTAAAAAGAAATAAAATTACAAGATTAATATTTATCTTAGTTTTATAACGAATAAAAAGAAAAGGGTAGACGAAAACATGATTACATACATGGATGCCAAGTATGAGTATAGAAAGGAAATATTGTTTGATGATAATACCCACAACAATAACAACACTCCGCAAATGTATTCATTTTTCAGGAAATTCTGTTTTTATTTCTCATATTCATCGTCAATTATATATGTGTGCATGCATGTATATATATATATGTAAGCTCGTACGTATGAATGTGTTAGAACTGAACAATATTACTATTCGTTTTGCTGGTACATACACGAGAAAAAAAACGAGAGAAAAAAAGAAAAAAAAGAGGAACCGTCCAGGAAGGAGGCAAGGCAGGCACGTTCGTATAGACCCAATGTAATCACCGATAGGGTCAATACAACGAGGAGAAGGAAAAAAAAGAATCCTCTATACACATATAACGTATGTACCAAACTCCTATCATTCTCTTTCTCTGTTCATTTTCCTTTCTGTTGTGCTGCAATACTCATGTTCATACTAATAGTTGCAATTATTATATATATAGTCAAACTCAATGTAAATTTTTTTGGAATAAGATGACGCAAGATGAAGGCGTTCTTTTTTTTTTTTCTTCTAAAAATTTTGTTTGTACAGTTCTATTACATAATGAACATATCAAAGTAAATAATACTATACATTTATCACCTACTTGTATATATATATATACTTTAAGGTAGAGTCTTTTGTTACGTATAATAATCGAAAAAGAAAAAAAACTAGAAACTTAACACTCACATTGATATTTTCTCGGAATACAATATCGAAAACATTCTAAACATAATGACGATATTCTTGTTCCATGACAACAAAAAATTTTTGTCAAATTTTTTCTTATTCGATAAAAATATGATGATGATGATGATGATGTAAATCGATGATGATTATTATTATTATTGTTATTTGTTATTGTTGGATGATAAGTTGATGAACGTAGACTTAATTGTGAACAATGTATATCCATATTAATATTTTATTTTGATATATCACTGTTTGTCAAATGACAAATCTTCTTGTTTAAAATATATTGTTATTGTAATTCAACATTAATTACGAACTGTGTTCATTTTTATCGTTCATATAAAATAGTGTGGTCAATGTTGGAATACGAAAGGTGAACATACACGAGTGAGACAGAAAGGGAAAAGAAAGAAAGAAAGAAAGAGAAGAAGAAAAAAACAATGTGTACAATTTCACTAAGCCAACTAGCTCATCCAACCATCACTATACAGTGTGTGACATATATATATTGGAGTGGATGACCGATGTTGTTCGAAAGAGAATATAAAGAAGAGACTGAAACGAAATGATTAACAATATGTGATAGTTTGATTTGTTTTTGTTTGCATTATTTTGAAGGTTAAAAACTGGACAGCAATTAATCGAATAGCACGTTCATTCTAAAGTACATATCATTTAACCTATTTATTTCGTACGTATGTATAATACAAAAAGCGATGAATTTGTCTTATTACAGAACAATTATCATCGTTTTATTAGAATAGCATACATTCATATAGATTCTAAGGGCGATCGTCAATAGACGCATTTGTTGTATAACAAAAAATGTAACAGCTTACGGCAATCGAATAATCAATAAAAGAAAGACGAATGTCTGCAGGATGAATGACATCAAGAAAAAAAATAAAGTTATATGAACAATTTTTTTCTTCAAAAAAGAAACACTAATAACTTCAAGTAATCATTGAATAAGAAAACAGAATTAAATATTTTCAAAAAAAAACTCCTCGAGCGAATATTTAAATTTTTGATTTATTTACCTTGTTGTTTATTATGATCTTTTGGTTTTAATTTATTAAATTCTTGTGCAACAAGTTCTTGTAATGAATCAAGATTATTATTACTATTTAATTTTACATGTTGATTTGACTTAATCTTAGGTACAATAAGAAGATCATTTCGTTCATCATCAATTTGTCGCTCGTCTACTGGTTCAATAAATATTCGTTTAACACGTCCAATTGAATTAAATGCATTTTTAACAATTAACCATTCACTATGATTAATATCACCTTCGATAATAGCAAGAATTTCATCTTCGAAACAACCTAATTCATTTATTCCACTCGGCTTTATATCACAAATGACTCGCACAAATTTTACTGGATTAACATCAAATACTAAAAGATCATTTTGACTAGAAAATACTTGTTTTTCTATTAAAATATAAAAAAAATATTTCAAATATTTTTTCTCTCTCTTCTCAATAAGATAATACCGTTTGAAGTAGATTTTTCTCTTACTAATGTAACAAATGTACTTGGAAATATACCAGTTGGTCGAAAAGTTGTACCAGGTAAATTAAAATGTAGTGAACCACGAAACCATCCATTTGGTAAATGTTCATGAACAATCAAAAGATCACCTACAGAAATTCGAATCATTTAAAGCATATATATGTACATATATATATACCTCGATGAAATTGTAGATCTTCATTATGAGATGATTGATAGTCTGTATGTGCTATATATAACGACTGATTTTCATCAAGTTTTACTGATGGAATATGTTTAATAAATTCACATGGTACAAGACCAATTTTATCTTTTAATCGACCTCGAAGCCAATTATTATCAACTTGTTCTAATACCTGAAATAATAGATTTCATTGTATTGTGCTATTGAATATATCAATGAGTAAATAACGATAGAAAGAACTCTCAAGGGTTTTTCAATTTAGGCTTTTCTTTTATATCATATGTTTTCCAAAAGGTCATACAGTTATTTGAATTACCTCAATAACATCATCTACTTGTAATTCAAGATCGCCAACAACACCTGTTTGATAAGGATATATCGCTTTGGCATAGCTCATTAATTTTTTATTAACAATCTACAACAAGAAAATCATTACATAAAAATTATATTGCAAATCACAGGTCGTATATATATATGTATGTATTTATTTATGTTTTTCTCTCGATTTTTTGTTTTTTTATAAAATCCATTTTCGAGCTATAGTTTGAATTTTTTTATCAAATGCTCCTGATCGTATCGGTTTATCCGGTATATAAAATGGATTAAGTAAAAGTTTAACATATGTTTCATAGATTTCTGTCAGAAAATTTTTTAAACCATCTTCACCAGTACGTGGTAAATGTTCATAGAGAAAAAGAAATCGTAGACCACCAGCCGTTACATATGCTGAAACAATCCATTCATTAAATTTATCAACTTGTTTCAAATATGTTGTTGAATTGCGCCACATTGCTTCATCGACAAGATCAAGTGCAGCATGTGCGATAAATTGATTTAAATGACGGTTGTCTGTTGTTGGTGCTATTTGTCCAGTAGTACCACCTAATTCAATTTCATAAACAACCTGATCAGCATGACCAACAATAACGAAATAATAATTCGAGGATGATGATGATGATGTCATCTAAAATTTAGTTTAAAAAAAAACAAAGGAGAAATGTGTTTTATTTATGAGAAAAAAAAGGAAGGATATGACAAGAATATCTTTTATTCTAACTATAAAGAATGTAAGGATTTTTTTTTCATAGGAAAAGGAAGAAAAAGAAACAAATGAATAATCTAAATTTCTTTTATCCAGCACGTTTTTTAAGTAATTGCCAACGCATAGCAAAGAATGGAACAGCAACAGCTGATGATACATAGAGAATCAAAGTTGTTGCTAAACCCCATTTGCTATTTGCTAAAAAGAAAAAATCCGAAAAGTTATTTTGTTTTTATTCTAAATTTCGTTTACCATTAAATGGAACATTAGAACCAGGTAAAGCTTCTTGATCCCAATTGTCTTGTAAACGTTTTCGTGAAGTTAAACTAAATTGTCGACGACCGGCTACTTTCGGTGCCAAAGTAAGAGCAGATCGAAGTGATGACATTATTTAGATCTTAAAAAGAAGATTTTCTTTTACATATATGTTAATTAACATATACAGATAAACATTTGCACATATAATTAAAAAAAACGAATAAAAGAAAGTATTCTTAAAATTTAACAAATAAAAAAAAATTATTCTCAGTTTATCTGTTGTGGTGGTTGTTGAGGTGGTGGACCATACTCATAACTTTGTGACGGATTATGACTTTGAGATGGTGAATAATATTGTTGTTGTTGTGGATGTGCCGATACAAGTGAAGGATCATACGATGAATTTTGTGGATAACCATATTGTTGAGATGGATGTGCTCCAGAATTCCATGTTGGAGTTGTACCACTATATCCATAATGAGGATGCATTTGTGGTTGTTGTTGATGATGATGAGAACCACGCATTTGCGAAGCCATCCCCATTTGTTGTTGATGTTGATTAGTTTGCCATTGTTGTTGCTGTTGTTGAGACCATGGAACATTAGGAGGATATGAATTGTAATAACGAGGATCTAGAATGAATAATATTCTATATCAGTTATATAAAGTGAAATCTTAGTTGAATCATTACCGTATGTGTTCGTTTGCCATTGTTGTTGTTGTTGTTGCCATGGTACATTAGATGAATATTGTGCTGATCGTTGATGCATTGGTGGTCGATATTGAACTTGTTGAGAATGACCATAACCAGGTGCTGATACATAACCACTTCCTGGATGCATCATTGGATAACCTTGAGATGTTGGTGTTGATTGTTGCGGATGAGTTGATAGTGGAGTTTGCTGCATTGCAGATGGTTTCGGTGAAAATTGAGGTTGTGAAGGTGGTGTTTGAGATTGTATAGGTTGTGTTGTTGGTAATTGAGTAGAAATAGCTTGAGAAGCTGGTAATGGATTTGATATAGGATGAGAAGAAGGTATGGAGGTTGATACAGTTTCTGACGATGGTAACTGAGTGTGCTCAGTAGACAATAATGCTGATGTCTGCTGTTCTGAAGTTTCTACAGCAGGTGTAGATTCGGTTTTTGTTAATACTGGTGTAGTTGGTTGTGATACTGTTATTGTTGAAAGTAAAGGTTGTGTCTGTGCTACTGATGCAACAGTTTCTGGTAGTTGCGGTTGCGATTGTAACTGTTGTTGTAAAACTAATTGTTTTTCTTTTTGTTGTTTTTCCATTGCTTCATATTTTTGTAATATTTCATTCATTTTTTCTTCAGTCAAATTTGTTGATGATGCTTCAGTATATTCATTATAAAATTTTTCATTTAACTCTTGAAATTTTCGTTTTTTATCTAAATGTTTTTCTTCTAAATCATTTAAATCTTTTTCAAATGTTTCACGATGAGTCTTCAATGCATTAACTTGGCGACGTAATGTTAATATACGATCAACGCTAACATTTGATCGTAAATCTGGTATGCATACTTGATTAAATATTTCATGTATACAACGTTGATTACGTTGAAAACGTGCAGCCGCTATATGTCGTGAAGAAAAATAAATCTCATCTGCTTCATCATTATCATCTATTGATGGTTCAATTGTAAATGACGTTTTGTTAATACTATCGGATGGAATATTATGAGTTACTAAACCAGGACGATGATATGAAGATTCATGTTCATCATGAGTACGAGTATTTTTGTCTAGAATGAAAATTTTTTATTATTGAATTTTATATATGTAGAAATAGATACCATGAAAATTGCGTGGCATAGACCAAGTTTTACGTGTATTATAGCGTGATGAATATGGTAATGAATTTGATTTATCCAATGGATTCATATTAATAGGACTTGATTTCATAGATCCCATCGAATTATTTGATCGCATTGTTGGATGTATAGATGGAATATTCATATTTGAACCAGTAGATGTACTCGATGAATGACTAGTAGATATAGGACTATTACCTATTCGCTTTGAAGATGAAGATGATGATGATGATGGTAATCGTGGATTGTATGCTGGGTGTCCATGAGAAGAAACAAGAAATGGTCCTGAATTTTGAGACATCAAAAAAACACAAATAACTGATGAGAATTATCACGATAAATGGATAAGAAAACAACTCACTATAATTCTTATCTCGCTAAAATCAATGTATTAATATAACGTTGCTGATAGCGTTAAAGAAATCTTTTCATATATATTCATCACTAACCAATTGTTACATTTGAGTTTCCTAGAGGTCACCTCTATACAGTTGCCTTAACTATATAACTATTTATATTTTTTCGTTTTATTTTCTAGATATTATTATATCATCTTACATATTCTCATTTGATTTGTTTTCTGTATAGGAGAGTAATTGATTTTTTACTTGTATTAAGAACGCTTTGTAATAATCCTTTCTCCATAAATACAGTTCAACTTAGATCAGAAGAAACAATACACATATTATATTTATCCCATATCCTTTTGTATTTTGTTTCAACTAAGCTATCTCAAATCTTTCTCACTTATATAATGAAGAAGAAATAGTCCTATCAGAGGTCACAGGTAGGTGTACATACTTACAAGTACCAAAAAAAAATGATTTTATAAGAAAGAAATGACACGTTAGTATTTATCTCGACTCATTGCATACGTTTTTTTGACATGCTTGACACCTAATGTTGAACCGTAGTTTCCTGGTAGTTTCGTACTAAGTTAATTATCTAGTGTTATATTGACATGAAGAGCATTATCGACGTCATAGACATTTCTATCACGAAATATAGCATGTTTTAAAGATTGGCTGCTAGCATTTATTCCTCTAGTTTTGTTTCGTTTGAAAATAATAATGATCGACATCTGACTGAACGATGTCACTTGTAGTTGCATACTCCCTGCTCTATGTTATCATTGTCACACAACAAATAGAGAGAGAGAGCACATATTTTCAATATGAATTCTTTTGAGACTCATAAGTAGAGTTGGTCGCAGGCTCTTATTCTCATTCCTATTTTCTACTGCTGACGTAGATAAACAACTAGTAACAAAAAGAAAAAAATAGGAACACAAAGATTAATCGAATGATTGACTGTTCATTCTATCGCATTATTTTGTTTTTTGTTGATTTTGACTAGCTATGCGTGAGTTTGATTATAATGAGAATCCATAGGAGGAGGATAGTTTGGAAACAAATAGAATGTTGACAATGCTAAATACCTAATTGCATGATTATGATTATGATTGATTGATTGATATGTCGTGTTTTGTGTACATTAGTAACTGACGATCGAATTAAATATGACAAAGCCAGGAGACAGAAATTATAGAAATTCCTAGCACAAGACAGATCTCAATGACAATATATATTAAATTATTATTTATATATACATATATTTATATACATATGTATACACATACACGCACATACTGCTATTAATCCTTGCATTCATCCATTCATTCATCTAAAATGCCATAGATCCATACTAGAAGAGAAAACACTTGACTGTTTCTGCATATATATAGATTTAGATATAATAGCATACTAATGCAAGCATACAGTCATTCATTCAACTGTTTCTTAATGTGATGGCACTGTTCTTATTATTTTTAGCATTTTTCCATCACTGCGATTACTCGTATTTTGTAAGGCATTAGTAATAGATAGCTATAGGAAATATTCATATCATATAATTAGAATATTAATTAAGATATCATAGATCTAAAAGTGTTTATATCTACATAAAAAAATATCTAACTTGACTTTTACTATAAGAATTTTTTGTTTTTGATAGATCCGTCTTGTTTCATTTACTTATGCAAAATAGTATCAACGATAACAACAACAAAAAAAGACTCAAGTGTCTCGTGTTCTCGTTGATTTGTTTGTTCGATAGCAAACAGATGTGACACTCTTGTTTCTATTACAAAGTACTCCTGTTGTAGCGATTACTAGTACTATTATATCATGTAATCATTCACTTATTTTTTTATTATTTGCATACTAATTCTAATCTTTATTCATAATACACATTATGATTGATTTTGAATTAGATGCATAGATACAAGCACTTGATTAGACTCATTGATGCCAACATGCATAATGCTATAATATGCGTTCAACAATCAAACTTATCTTAAAGCGTCGAGAACTACTATCACCACTCGACTTCATTCGATGACGAGTGTATGGAACAACAGAAACGACCAAAAAGAAAAAAAAAAGAAAAAAATAAAGAGAAAAAAAAATCTAAAAGAAGAACAAGAAGAAGAAATCAGTTCGCTCGCTTGCCTTGGCTGAGCATTCAGTAACGAGAACTACGATAGAGATAGGGAGTGAGAGTAGACACATGTGCTTGAAGGTTGTCGTGCTTGACGAGACGACGACAACGTCGATGCTAGCTATGGTGGTAGTAGTAGCAGCAGCTATAGAAGTAGCAGCAGAAAAAAAACGAGACTACCGGAAAATAATCATAATGGAGCACATACAAAGGTCTCTGCAATTCTTCTTTATGACGTGCGCTTGATGCAAACACACATACACATTCAACATTGATTGAGATATCTCGTTGCTTTTCCTTTCTAAAAGACGAGTTCTTTCTCTGTCTTTGCACTATTTCATCGTCATAATGTTCTATGTCTTATATCGTTTTCTTTATATGCTGTTACTTGCAGTCTTAGCGCCTCTCCGAATTGACACTCACCAGGGCGATAGTTGAGTTCTTCGCCTTTCCATTCTTCTTCTTCTTCTTCTTCGTCTTCGTCTTCTTGTTCATTGTGTCGTCTTTGGCTTTGCTTCTTTTTTTTTTTTATTCTATTGTCCGTTTCCTAGCATCTAATTTACTGGAGCAATTATGACCTTATGCACGTACATAGATTTTGTTTTTATCCACTTATTGGTTTATTAAGAAACATGTTCACTTTTACTCTCTATTTCCTTTTAATTTTAACAAACTACTTATATTTCACTATCGTTTTTCAAGATATATATTTATATAACGATTCTATCTTGCAACCAACGTTACGTTACAAGTTAATGATCATCTAGTTCTTTTTTTTTATTATTTTTCTTATTCAATTCAATGTTTTATCAACTAAACGTAATAAACAAAGCAAGCTATCAACACATCGTGCATTGTTACAAGTGAAATTGTTAAGTGCGCGCATAGGCGCACAGTAGGTTTGTATTGTTAATTAGCAAATATCAATATTATTCTTCTCGATCTTATTTTATTCTTTCATTCTTTTCCATCATCTTCTCTTTTCCCTCTTTTACTTCTCTTTCATTCTTGTTTTCTTTTATTTCTACACGATTAATAATAGTCGTACACAAAATTAATGGGTATCAAAAAAAAAGACACATCTAGTCAAGGGAAAAAAAAAGAAAACGACTTGGAAAGAAAAAAGAAGAAAAAGTCATCCTATTTAATAAATTAACTAATGGACAATAAGACATAAATAAATATGTTTATCAATGAAACTTTATTTATAGGTTATCTAAAATAAAAAAAAACGAACCATTAACTAAGGAATATGGCAAGTGTTGCTGCATGGCTTCCATTTGCTCGAGCAGCAGCTATTGGTTGGGTTCCATTAGCAAAAAATCCTTTACCACCACCACCATTTCGTATTCCAACAAGTGGGGGCTCACCGTCATCACCTTCAACGTCAACAACATCAGCTTCGGCAACAACTGTTGGTGAACGTCGTTGTGATGAAAAACTTATTATTAATATTAGTGGTCGTCGTTTTGAATGTTGGCGATCAACATTAGAAAAATATCCTGATTCTTTATTAGGTTCAAATGAAAAAGAATTTTTCTATGATGAAGATACACATGAATATTTCTTTGATCGCGATCCTGATGTATTTCGTGTTATATTAAATTTTTATCGTACCGGTAAATTACATTATCCAAAACATGAATGTATTGCTGCATATGATGAAGAATTAGCTTTTTTTGGTATATTACCTGATATAATTGGTGATTGTTGCTATGAAGATTATAGAGATCGTAAACGTGAAAATACAGAAAGACTTATTGATGATCGTTTACATGAAGATGAAGATAAAACCCAACCAAAACCACAATCAAAACGTGAAACAATGTGGCGTGCATTTGAAAATCCTCAAGTTTCAACAATGGCATCTGTATTTTATTATGTAACAGGATTTTTTATTGCTGTTAGTGTTATTGCAAACGTCTTAGATACTGTTGCATGTGGACCGGATCCTGAAACAGGTTATCCAAGATCATGTGGTGAACGTTTTTCTCGTCAATTTTTTTGTCTTGACACAGCTTGTGTCATGATTTTTACTGTTGAATATTTCCTACGTCTTTATGCAGCACCTGATCGATTAAAGTTTGTTCGATCAGTTATGGTGAGAATGAAACAAAGGAAAGAGATGAATATTTTATTTTTTTGCAATTTTTCTTTAGTCTGTTATCGATGTTGTTGCTATAATGCCATATTATATTGGTTTATTTATGAATCAAAAAGGCGAAGTTAGCGGAGCATTTGTTACACTTCGTGTATTTCGTGTTTTTCGTATATTTAAATTTTCACGTCATAGTCAAGGTTTAAGAGTATTAGGTTATACATTAAAAAGTTGTGCCAGTGAACTTGGTTTTCTATTATTTTCATTAACAATGGCAATTATTATATTTGCAACTGTTATGTATTATGCAGAAAAAAGTGTCGTACATACAAAATTTACATCTATACCAGCTGCATTTTGGTATACTATTGTTACAATGACAACACTTGGGTAAGAAATTATTAATTAATTTTTTTGTATTGAAATATGATCTGAGATATGTTTGAGAAGTCACTTGATATTTTTTTTATAGTAAAATAAAAGTAATTACAACTTATGAGATGTATACTTATATATAACCATTTAGAACTAGTATTTAAACCGATTTAAGGATGTCTAAGACATTGAGATTAATATAAAGTCCTTCAGAGTAATATATATATGTATTATAAAAGAGCTAAAGTGTTAATAATACTTATTGAATGACAATAATACCCTAAGGAATCAATTCATAATATATATTATGTAACGATTATTTTATAGGTATGGTGATATGGTACCAAAAACTTGGTAAGATAAATGATATAGATATAGATTTTGATTTAAAATGAATAATAAATAATTTATCTAGGGCAGGAAAACTTGTTGGTGGTGTATGCAGTTTAAGTGGTGTCCTTGTCATTGCACTTCCCGTACCTGTTATTGTATCAAATTTTAGTCGTATTTATCATCAAAGTCAACGAGCAGATAAAATGAAAGCTCAACGAAAAGCACGTCAAATTCGTATACGTTTAGCACGTAATGCAACAAGTAATGCATTTGTAGCTGCTAAAAGACGTCGTGAACAACATTCTGATGATCCAAATTCATCTGCTGAGAAAAATTTTGTCAATCCATTTGAATTACAACATCATCATCTATTGCGTTGTTTAGAATTAACAACTGTATGAGAAAAAAAATTCTTTTTCTATAAAAGAATTTAAATTGTTATAATTTTATTTTAAGGATCGTGAGTTTATTGAAATGGGTCCAGATGCATTGATGAGTAGTGGTGCTGGTACAAGTCTTATTCCAGGCAGTAATGCTATGGCTGGTTTAGGACGATTTGCTTCGCCAACTAGTCATTTTCTATTAAATCGTCGGAAGTGGTGGTGTTGTGGACCACGAAGACGAAGAAAAAATTCTTATAAACTAAGTGCCGTAAGTATTAAACATATTTCATAAATCGAACTTGTTTTAAAAAACGATTCTTCATTTTTCAGTGGATGAATTTAGCTTTCTAATAAAATATATGTAATGATTCATTCCACTTTAATTCGATACTAAGATTTTAGATTAGTCGGTTTCACATTTTGATCGATCAACTAAAAGAACATTTGCTATTCTATTCTTTAATTAATGAGTATTGTAAAAAAAATTTATCGTTACTCTGCAGTAATATAGCGTCATCTAGCTCAGCTAAATTCTTTGAAAAACAGTACGAAAGCATAAGCGAATCGTTAATTTGTTTTTTTTCTCTTCATAAATCATATTTAATCTGTCATTGCTATTTAAGGATCGTGCAAATAATATTAATAATGCTAATATCAGTGGTGATGAATTCGATGAAGAATTAGTTGATTTACGTGTACCATCATCATTAACTCCTCGTACTTCATTAACATTATCACATAATGTGACTGCAATAAATGTGATACCACCGCCGCCAGAACAACAACAATTACTACAAACTTCAACTACATCTATAACAATTCCTTCTTTATTACAACATGATGTTGTACTTCATTCCAATGTTCTTAGTCCATTATTATCTGCATCGAATCGTTTTGATTTAAATTATCCATTTGATAAAGGATCTCGAAATCAATTAAATCGAAAAGCAAATAGTTTAACAACAGTATATGAACATGGTTCAACAAATGAAACAACCGTAGATGAATTATTATTAAAACCTGATGTCGGTCGTGTAAGATCACCATCAAGTATTACTGATTATGCATCTCATAGATTAACAAATACATCTTTAATCGTAGATAAACAATCTGATGAACAAGAAACCGTAAAATTAACGAACGAAAAATAATAAAAAATGTTTATCAATTCTTTCTTTCTTTTTCCATTATAGATATAACTGTGAATGTAATTTTTGCCGATAACCCTGTGTTCTCATTCTTCGTCCTTCTATACATGCCGTATACAGTTCAAACATATTTTCTACGCATTCTAGTCACCTGTCACTTATACGAAGCCTTGTGTTGTTTTGTTACGTTGTTGTTTCATTCTTTCTTTCTTTCTTTCTTTTTTTATTTGTATATAATAAGAATTTTGTCGGATGACAATCATTGTCTAGTAGAAAAACAAAAATATTCTAATATAAAGAAAAACAAAGACAAAAGATTCTTTGTCTTATCTCTATATGTTTTATTTAATTAATTTCTTTTTTATTTGTATGTATTCATTTGGGTAAAGAATATAAACATTAAAAATTTGTTTTCTAAAGACTAATGATACGTTAAAATAAAGCAAAAAAATATCGGTCTTTATAAATATTATATATTTAAGATTTTTTAATACGTTTTCTAGTTGATCTAACTGTTGGTTTTTCTTCAAGATTTCGTTTTCGTTTCGTTGTTTTTTTATTGATCGTACTTGGTTGATCATCATCATCATCATCATCATTCGTATCAAATTGACGATCTTTATTTTTATCTTTAACAAGTAAATTATCAGTTGTTGTTGGTGATGCAGGTTCTTCAATTTCAACTAAATCATCTGGATCAAGTAATTCTTCTTGTGCAGCTATATCAATTGGATCATGAGATTCAGATTTTGAAGGATGAGAAAAATTTGCTAAATGAACTGAACTTTGCCGATTACATTTTGATCCAAATGTACATGGTGGTTTTGTTTTAGATTTCGTTAATTTAGATTTTGATTTCACCGTTGGATGTTGATATTGTTTAAGATGATCAGGATTTGTTCGATAACATTTGTCTCCATATTGACATAGTTCACGGGTATCTTTTTTGTTCTTGTTTGTCGATGATGATGATGGTACTTGCGTTTCTTCATCTTCATCATCGGATGTAACAATTTTTTTTCCGCTTTTCACATCACGTGATGGAATAACAGAAAATAATATTGAATGTTGTTTAGATAATTTTGTCGTTGGTACAACTTTTTGTATAACACTAACCGGTTTTTTTGTTTTAGCTGCTTCAAGAACATCATTCCATGTTAAATCAGTACGCATTCGAAGAAATACTGGAAAACGTGGAATACCAGCATTGGACAATTCTTGAAATTTAAATGTAATAACCGATTTAATTTTTGGTGGTTTTCGTCGTTGATCCATATTAAATCCACTACCAACATCAAATCGTTTTCCATTAGGTAATTGACATTCAAGAGCACCTAACATTCCTGTACAATTACCTTTACCAGGTTTATGACCAATAACTAATGCTTCTAAAAAATTAACAAAGAAAATAATTTTTTAACAAAATAATATGTAATTTACCTTCATCATAAAATGTTTTTACTTTAAGTAATGTAGATGAACGTTTATTTTCGTAAAGACTACCTGGTTTACGAAGCATAATTCCCTCTCCACCTGCTGCATTTACATTCGCTAAACATTGTTTGAGATCATCAGCTCCTTGACATTTTTTAATGCCGACTATAGTCGCATAACATTTATCATCATCTTGTGGAACATTAGCTTGTAACCATTTAACACGATCTTCATATTTTCCACCGTGTGATGGTGCATCAAAAACTAAATAAGTTAGAAGTTTATAATCATCCGGTACAACTTTATTTGCTTGCTTTTTTACAATACTAATACACTTTTGAAACAGCCCACGGCCACACCTAGAACATGACCATTCATTTTTAAGACAATATCATTGAAAGAAATTTACCATATTTCTCCATCTAATGGTACTTTAGGAAGTGCTGCCTTGAAGAAATCAGGTGCATGAAATAGATTCCCTTGACGAGAATAAAAATTACTTCCACTCCAATATGCTCTAAAAATAAATAATGTAAAAAAAAAACTTCTTTTTTTTTATAATAATTACATACCGAACACCATCAAGTTTTTCACTCATCCACCATCCAGTTGGATCAATATTTTCATTCCATGTCTCTGCAAGAAGTACTTGTGTAGCTGCTTGACTCATTTTATTTTAAATGATAATAATGTATTCAAAAAAAAAAAAGTTTTAAAAGTTCTCCGTCGTTGTCGTCTTCTTCCACTTTTTTTGCTCTATAAATTCAAGGTAACAACGTGGATGCTTATTGTAGGGTTTTCTTCGTTGTTTTTTTGTATACTGAGGTTGTGCAAGGACGTCCAAGGTCACAACTCAGCGAGTAGTGTCAATCATTTTTGCAGGAAGGAAAAAAAGAAAAAGAAACGCTGCGAAAAGAGTAGTTTAACTTGAATATGACTATTTCATACTGTTTTAGATTATTTTATCGTTGTCAATCAAATATTTTTATTTGAATTTCATTGGTATATGTAGTCTAGTCAACTTTAATACTTATTTCATTACATTTTCAACAATCTTCAACAAAGGTCAATGTTCATCGCTGATACAACTAATCAAAGTGACTCGCCATCATTAACCATCGGCGAATTTCACACCGGTACAGGACGGGCTCGACAAACACCAGGTAAAATATAAATCTAAAGAAAGCAAAAGAATTTGATTTGTCAAATACTCATCATGTGTTGAGTGACCGTGTCACTTTAGATGGGATTGTTATTTTATACGTATATACACATATATATACATAGGTGTATATAGATGTATATTCAGTAAGCAAGCTAGGATTCGATATCAATCGTTCGAAAATAAATTGCGTGCAGACATATTTTATATATATAAGAGAAGAAAGAGGAATATGTAAGATTGATTGTTAAGATACAATTATTATTATTCATATTAAAAATTTGTATGTGATGCCGCATCGAACAAATTTAACGCAACTGCAACCAACAGGTATGATAATAATATAGTAGAAATAATTATAAGGGTTGAACAGATTTATAGGATAAAAATATTATGATTTTTTATAGAGATATCCGAATTTATATTGAACAATTTTGTTAATAGATACAATCGAATAAGATTAGAAATATTAGAATTTCATGTTTATTCTTAAATTTAACAATAAAATTTGATAGAACAAATCAAGAAAAGTTTTTTTTTAAATACATATATTGAAGTAGAGGGTGAATCATCTATTTCAATGTACAGATAGATGAAATTTATACAATTAGTCAATAAACATTTATCATTTACAGAAAAATATTGAGTTTGTCTACCGATGACCAACAACTTTCGATTATCTAAGAGGATATTTTATTCCAAGGGCAGACATGTTATCTATCATTTTAAAATTGACATAAGATATGAGGACGGTTGAACAACTTTTTATATATCAACTTATTTTCACCGCATAGTATTCGTACGTTTTGCGAATATCCAATTAATAATAATTATATATGTCTGAAGTATATAGTAATACTCGCAATGATTTATAGAATTTATCGTTCGAGTACTTTATAACAAAACAATACTTATGATTTCGTATCTCAACTAATCAATAGTAAACATATCGCTACACTTAAAACTGAGTATAATATCAACAGTAGTGTAGTTAAAATAGAAATTTAGAATAAACCTAAAATTTATCATTTACTAGGCATAAATTTTTTACCTCACATTAGTTCAAGATGATACTTCCATAATGGATAGATGTTTTTTTGTCAGTCGAATATAAGAATATTCTCTGACACAAATCGTATTATCTATGAGTATAATTGAGCGGAACGAAATAAAACTATTCTTCCGTTATAATTATAAGATTATTGATTTCTCTCATTGAAACAAGCATAACGATTAGAAATATAAAATAGATACTATCATTTTATATCACTTACAAACAATAAAATGATTGATTGCAAGAGATTATATTGTAATCTGAATATAAGAGTTCTTCTTCTTTTTTTTCGTTATAAACTTTCTGACCTTTCATTTAAATGTAAAAGTTTTAAGAATTTATTCAAATAGAAATCTGAGTGTTCTTAAATACAAATATTGAATCAATTCTTGATTCGTTATTTCTTTCGAATACTCACTCTTATTGAAGATAATTATATTTTCTTTCTATTCATGATTAAATATCCGATTAAAATATTTGCATATAATCTCTATAAGTTTCTATTTTCTAACGTACTTAGATCAAATTAAAAATGATAATAGAGAAATTACTCATTTTTATCATATTTTATACGAAAAAAAAAATCTAACATCTATACGTTTAAAGGCCAAGGTTATTTTTTTTCACAATTCTACCAATCAATTTAGTATAAAAAAAAGAGACGTAGAAAAAAAATTCTATATATGCGAAGTAAGAGTAATCATTAGTAAACTTTATATATGACTGGTACATGTTATTGTGAAGATTATACACAACTTTGAGAGTCTGGCACCATCGAAAGTAACAACTGGATGTGAGTGATGACGCTACTAAAGTGCCATTAGTTCGACAACAAAAATATCAAAAAAAAAGAATCAGAACAGAGTAATAAAAAAAAACATTGATCGATTGACTTCTCATATGGCTGAAGTGAATAAGATGAAACCAGTTGTTTATACTATTGCACAGTATTATGAAAGTCCTCGAGGTGAGTAGATGCAAATTAAATTTGATTTTGTTCTATTCATTTAACTTAAGTATATAAGCGATAAAAGTCATAGCTCTATTGACCTTGTATTTTGTTCGTACTTATACTATTCCTTTTTTTCCCTTCGATAATTCAGTTAAGAAATAAAAGAAATCCTACATTCGATTGTTAGTAATCATTAATACTACACAGATCAACTATGTTCATCTCTTCAGCTTCAAGACAAAGACATATTTCTAACGAACATCCAGTACGCGTACGAGGTACACCTGAGTACAATCCATTATATGATGCATTTCAACCGGATCTTATTCTTCCACCACGACAAACTCAAAATAATTTTCGACCAATAACACCACCACCACCACGTTTTGTACAAAATTTTCAAGATATTGAAAATGCTTATGATAAACCACGTTCGTTTGCATTCGATAATAAACCGAGACCATCAACAAATACACCACGTCAACATTCAAAACATGGTCAACAGAAAGTTGGTGAGAAATGAATATATTAAAATGTCAACAATATATGCAATACTAATAATTATTACTCTAATCATTCATTTCTTCTGTAGAATATTATATTTGATTTAGCATGTGCTCTCTTTCTAGCATAATTTACGCTTCTTACTTAAATATATATCGAACTAAGCAAAAGTTTTGTGACATCAAAGTTTTAGAAGATGATAAAATCGAGATCTTATCATTTTCTAGAGCTGTGATGTAAGCAAAATAAAAAATGTCACAAAAATTTTGCTCCACTCGGTAGTAGATTTTAAATACAACTTGATTATTAGATATATTATAAAGGAATATGTATTTGACATCTGTTTATTTGTCAAATTAACCATCGTTTTACATAGGACAAATACTAATATTACTTATCATATATACTCATCACATTAACATTATTTTCTTCTTCGTCCACAATAGTGTATAAAACGAATTACATCATCAAAATTTTTTTTGTTCATATGTAATTTGAAGCAATATATATTACTACAAAAAAAAAAGTTTCATTTTTTACTCAATAAAATACCTAACAAGACAACTCAATGACCCTTTCACTTGTGGACAGAACGATGGATGTAAATGATAACTATCATCAGCTATATACGAACCAAGCTGTTCTCTTTCCTCTTCTTCTTGTTTTTTCTTTCAATAGTTCTTTTATATATGAATAGATGGCACACACACGCCCTTGCTCGCTCGCTCGCTTGCTTGCTTGCTTACTTACTGCTCGCACATAACAAGAATAGACGAACTATGTAGTCCATAAATTCTCTATCGATGTGCTGAATAAACGAATGAAAAAAAAATGTGGTTGAGAGTCGAGAACGCTACATTTCTCTGAACAAGAAAAGAAATAATGACTTTTTCTTGTTGATTGTTTTTTTCACGATTTTTATCCACCAAAGGATAAGTTGATTAAAAAATATTTTTTTTACATGGGTAGCTTATCTACATAAACATGTCTGTTTACACATGTATTATCTTTTGTTTCTTGTTGTTATGTGTCTGTTTTTGTATATAATTTAAAATATGTTTTTTTTTATTCTTTATTTAGAATCATCAGCCGACAGTGAAGTTGACCTTTTAATGGATAAATTAGGTGGTGACAATGCACCTGTTGATGATGTCGAATCATGTAATCAACGGAAAAAACGAAGACGTCGTCGTATTTTATATAATTTTATGGATTTTCTCGCAATAATAGCAAGTATGTTATTATTGTTTATCGGGGAAAAAAACGAAGTTATGATTTAAAATTTTTTTTAGCATGTGCTGTTTTTGGTCTTATATATTTACTTGTTCCACCGGTGCAAAGAGGTTTCTTTTGTGATGACACAACTATACAGTATCCATTTCGACCTGATACTATACCAATGTGGGTTTTAGCGATTTATGGAGGTGTTGGTCCTATTATAATTGTAAGTAATAGAATCTAGATTTGATTTATAAATAAAATCAATTATGAATATATATACTTATTATTCATGTGAATTAAATATCATTAGATTAATTACATTGAGTGTTAGTTCATCTGCTCCAATGAATTTCAAGTAGCTGTTAATGAGCATAATATTATTTGAAAAAAACTTTTTTTAAACGACGCCATAGATGAAAAAGATAGGATGAAGTTTCCATTTTCCAACATTATGAGATAAAAGAAGATTCACTAAGTAAACTCATGGAAAAATGCGTCTTCCTTATTAATAAAAGATTAAAGAGTCCTTGTTAAAAAGACATAGGCTATAATAAAAAAAACGTAATAATATATATTGTTGAGCTCATCTACGAGTAAATTAAACTTTTTCTTTTTATAGAAATTTATTTATTTATTATGAAAAAAAGTCTAATTATAATTAATCTCAGATGACTAATAATTTATGAGAAAATAAAATAGTTACAGCAAATCAATTGATCTAATCTTTTCTTTTACACATTTAATTCTAGTTTTGTATTGTTGAATTATGGGTTGTACGTCCATTTAATTGTCGTGGTAAATCAGACAAACAGAGTGCAGGTCAACGTCGAATTGATTATTTTAAATCAGTCTTACATACTATAAGTCTTTTTGTACTTGGTATTGCTGTTTGTTTTCTTATTACTGAAGTTGGCAAACGTATGATGAAGAATAAATCTTTAAATAAAGCTTTAATTTATTTTTCTCTAGGTACAATTGGTCGATTGAGACCGTATTATGTAACTGCCTGTAATCCTGTATGGGGAAATCTCAATTGCACAAAAACTGTCCAGACAGCTAGTGGGAGTGTTGTTATTCCACAGTATATACTGGATCATAATTGTAATTCTACATTTACACCAATTGAACTTCGAGAAGCGAAATTATCATTTCCATCAGGTCACTCAAGTTACTCAACATTTGCTTTTATCTTCCTCTTTGTAAATATAATAGACTAATATTTATTCGATAATGATAATAAACAAATGATTTTCTTTTTAGGTATATTTCGAAGCACGTATTGTATGTCCAAATGCTAAATTTTTAAAACCATTTCTTCAATGTTTATGTGTTGCTACTGCATTTTTTACATGCTTATCTCGTGTAACAGATTATAAACATCATGCCACAGATGTTATTGGTGGAGCATTAATTGGTTTTTGTATTGCCGTATTTACTGTAAGAGGATAGGAATTGATCATTTTTATATTTATGTGTACCTATTTATCTGTTTTTAGGCTGTTCGTGTTGGAACCTATTTATGGAATCTTAGTATTTATTGTGAAACAGAAGACGAAACAAAAAAAGATCGTTTACCTAAAGAAGAACGTATTACTGTACCTGGTGTAGAAACTAAACCATCAGGAGAATTACGCTCAAATGATTCACCTCATGAACAACAATTATCACGTTCACGTCAAGGTAATCGCTCAAATTATGACAATGTTTCAACAGTACAACCACAACAGCAACAACATCGAGCAGTTAATAATCTTGTAAAAACAGGTGGTGGACAACGTCCATCGCCTTCAAGAGGATATGAAGAAGCAAATGTTTAAATGACCACTGAACAAGTTAGATTAACGATCATCTACTTTCTTTTGTTTTATGTTATTTTCATGTATCTTAAGTTTACCATTGTATTTCATAACCTTCCTCCTTATTCATATAACTAATTTTGATCTGTTTGTTTTTTTATGTTGTCTTACAACAATTTATCGTTTACTAAAAAAATATAGATAGGAGCTTTATTGCTATTTCAGGATTTTATATAAAAATTAATCACAATTAAATAAAGACAATGTGTTTGTGATTAAGTGGAATCTTCCGTTTTTTTTGTATTACTCACACAAGTAATATAAGACATCTAGACAATTACTTCGATCTTCAGAAGTTTTACTTGAAAATTTAAATAGAACAAATACAAACTTCTGTAGTCTCTTGGTACTTTAATACTAGATTAAATTCTTTTTCTACTTGTATTTTATTTGAATTGTAGTATCTATTTTTAATAGTTATTTGAATAAAATTTGACAATATATAGAACCAACAACATTGCAGACAATAAACTCAGAGAAATAATAGGCATATTTACACTCAAAACGAGCTTATCAGAGTATTCATGTAAAATTTTCACATGCAGTTGCATCCTATAGTTTATATATATATGATTTGTATGTCTTTAGACATGTTTTTATTGATACTAAACCATAAAAAGAATCACACTGAAATCAACCATGTTTTACATAAGCAGAAAATAAACGAATAACACATCACCTTATTAAAAGAAATGAATAAATGAATTACGCTTGAAAGACGAGCGGGTAAATTCCATTTCAAAAAATACACCATAAAAGAAAAAGCAACATAAAGAATAAGAAAAAAGAGAAAGATTTTTTTTGTAATGTTCATATTCATTTAAAGACGTAATTTCTTATGAAATTTCGTTTTTGGTTCGGCTGATTCAGCATAAAATGCATGTACATCACCCGATGGATTGATTGTAAAATTATATGCATCGGTATAATGATATTTACCAAGAAAATCACCATGAAATAATTCAAATAAATCATAATCCTGATATCGACCTAGACCAAGATCACTAAGTTTAATACTGATACGAATTGGTGTTCCGTATGGTTGAGGAAAAAGTGCAACAAACTTAAAATATAAATATTAAATAAATTTTAAACTAGAGAAAAATAAAACCTACTGCAGTACGATCATCTTGCAATGGTTTACTCCATACTTCAACATTACCATCTAACTAAAAAAGTAAATAATTTCATATAACATTCAAAAATATGTATTTATTTACTTTAAGTATACGTCTTCCCATAGCTCCAAGTGGATCTTGATTAATAGCAATTAAGTTTTTATTGAGAAGTATGTCTCGTGCCCAATCATTAATTGTTCGTAAATCAACTGAGAGAATTAATGGTGCAGCCATTATTGACCAAAGTGCCATTTGTGCTCGTGATTGACCTGGACTTAAACCATAATTTCCAATAACAAGCTAGAAAAACTTATAAAATTATTCGAGATCTATTTTGAAAAACTTTTCTAACCATATCTGGATCATTCCAATGTCCAGGACCATGAAATGGTGACAAGCGATCTTGATTATCACCAAACCATTGTATAATTGAATAAACACTTTCCCATGAATCATCAATATCAGCCCAATTTCTCCATAAATTACATGAATGTGCAATAGCGGAATAATTTGGTTTCATCTTATCAAATTCTTGATAAGCTGGCCATGAACATGAATATGCTATTGGAACACCAGTCGCATTTAATGCATCTTCCATTGCTGGATATCCAGTATCGAAATCTTTTATATCAGCATTACAACCATCTAATTTTAAATAATCAACTTTCCAACTAGCAAATGCTAAAACAAATCAAATAATAATATTTGAATAATAAAATAATAATCAATTATTTACTTTCAGCATCTACACTTAAATGTCCTAGTATACCAGGATAACCAGCGCATGTTTCTGTACCATAATCTTCATAGATACCAAATTTCAATCCCAAAGAATGTACATAATCAGATAATGCACGAATTCCACTTGGGAAACGTTTATTATCAGGTTGTAATAAACCATCCTAAATAAATACATAATTATCTTAGTGATATATATATTGATTTAATAATTACAACTGATCGAGTCATATTTAACCAACAATCATCAATAATAATATATTCATATCCAGCAGCTAAATATCCACCTTGTACTAACAATTGAGCTTGTGTTCGGATCAATTTTTCACTAGAAAATATTGATTGATTCATATCTATAGTAATATATATTTACCTAATACATGTATCAGGATATGTATCACAATCGGTAACACAACGAAATCGTTGCCAGGTCAACCAACCCTATATATATAAAAACATAAATTTTATTTTCTTGTTCAAAAAATTTTTTTACCATTGGGGGTTGTCGAAGTAGACCATTGTCAAGTGAATTTACTTGTTTATAATATGAACACAAGTAGATAGATATAATAAAATATTCGACTACATATTCTGTCCACTTCATGATAATGATCTAAAAATGAGAATAGGAGAAGATTGTTATCTCGTCGTCTCTTTCTTCTTTTCAAGTTAACAAGACAAGATAATATACTATTGATATTGACCTTGCTCATATAATCAACAGTACATAAAAGCCAGGTCGCTCCTTATTCTTTTATCTTTTAAAACAAATTAATCGAGAATAGAATTTGTTTATTCTAAAAATTCTTTTGTCATCAACGAATGTAGAAAAAAAATTAAATGCAAGTTAAATAACCAACACCAATTTTCATATATTAACAATTGACAAAATAACCAGAGAGAGGAAAAATGGAAGAATATTAATAATAAAAATATTTGTATTAGTATAATTAAAACAAAAGATAAACATGTATAATATCACATGCGAAAATTCTATACATATCAAAAAGAAAAAAATAACAATCCATAGAATTAATGATTAGATTATTGTTGATAATACAAATTATTTCCTTGATTTGTATTATCACCATAAAATGCTGAATATTCCGAATAATAATTTGCAAGCGATGATTCTATAAATAAGTCTATAGGAAAAATTAGTTGATAAATTTTTTTTCCTTACGGTAATCAGATGACGTTGGTGGTTGTTGAGAAGAATAATCTATATTAAAATAAAGATTACGTCTTTTTTATGAAGATATAATCATTAACATACTTATTGGATTTGTATAATTAGATGTAGAGTATGAATCACAATAAGAACCGGTTGAATATTGCGTAGGATTATATTGATTTTCATAATTGTTTGTTGAATTTTGAGAAAAATTTGATGTTGAATCGTAATTATTTTGATTTGAATAGGCATATTGTGAATTATAGTCATTATTATTATTATATGTACGTGTTCGTTTAGAATAAGATCCATCATATTGATTGGAATTTGATACAGATTGTATTGGCCGTTTCATGCCATATTGATTATCGGGATCGAATGCACCAAAAATATTATTTGACATTTGCTGATTAAGATTTTGATTGAGTGGCGGTTGTTGTCGAAAATTTTGAGATTGATATGGCGGACGTGGCTTTACGTAAGGCCTTTTTGAACTACGAAATGAAGGAGAAATTTGATTATTCGTTGCGGATTTATTTTTTATATGCTAAAATAATAAAATAAAATAATCATTTCAATAGAAGAATAAACATACTAGTTGAGTTTGTCGATTACGACGATGAAGCACACTTTTGAGATGCTAAATAAAACAACAATTATAATTTATTCAATATGATATAGAGAAAATTTCTTACTCCAATAAGATGCTTTTTACTTTTAAATTTTTTACTACATGTTGAACATTCATATATAAATAAATGTTGTTTTTCTGCTATTGGTGCAGTTCTATAATCATCAATATTAATATTCATAGAAGTAGCTTCACTAATACAATATTCTATAAATAAATATTTCGTATAAATAAATTAAATCAAAGACAAAAAATTAACCTTCTTCTGCTACTCGTTCTTGATGTCGTGTTTGTTGTAGATGTTCAGTTAATTTCGCTTCTGTACTAAATTGTAATGAACAAACATCACAATAATTTGAAGATGTCGGATTATTATCAGATGTAGGTTCAGATGTTGAAGAATTCATAAGCTAAAAGAAATCAACAATTCTTATTCAAGATATTTCTATATCATTATTTTTTCAATAAAATTTGACAATCAATTCCTAATTACTCATATTATTAATTTAGATAGTGTTATCAAGAAATCAAGAAAGGAAAAATTTATTCGTAGTTTATCAATCATGGAAGATATAACAAGTAGAGACCTGCGGGACAGTCCCGAATCCCGAAAAATCCCGAATGTCCCGTCCCGCGGGACAATCGGGACGTGTCCCGAAAACTTTCCGGGACACGCGGGACGGGACGGGACTATTCGAAAAACTTCGGGACGGAACATTCGGGATCGGGACAATATAAAAAAATCAGAAGTCCCGAATTTTTTTTGATCGGTATACTAAGCTATGTCTTATACTTCGATTCTTGTCTATTTCTTATTAGAAATGTTGAATGAAACGTTGATTTACATTCAAAAGTCATGTAAATGCATGTATTTTAGCTTATTTGTGTTGCGGCGAAGATGTGTTGTTTTCTGTCACAGAGTGACATCTATATTTTTTTGTCATCGGGACAAACGGGACGGGACGGGACTATTCGAAAAACTTCGGGACGGGACATTCGGGATCGGGACTATTCGAAAAAACTTCGGGACGGGACATTCGGGATCGGGACTATTCAAAATACACTTCGGGACGGGACATTCGGGACGGGACAATAAAAAAGTTTGTCCCGCAGGTCTCTAATAACAAGTAGGAATAATGAAGATGTGAGAGACAATTCGATAAGAAGTTTATTTCTTTGAAGCTACCAATGGAGAGAGTTCGACACGATCGATGTCGCCGTGCGGAAGCGGGTACCTAAATTATCGATTTGTTCCCTTCACCTCTATTTAAAGGCACAAAAAACGTATCTACATGTTTTATTTCTTTTCCGGATTTCGTGACATATTCGTTTGGACTGATTACAAAAACAACTACAATGTAAAGTATATATTAAACGAAATAATCTTATGCTCTCTATTTAGATCGATGTGAACAATTTTTCATATTGCCTGAATTATAACTATACGATTGCATCAATAAATATAATGTAGGTTGAGTGATAGTTTTTCATTGATTTATAGGACATCAATTATATTTTAACAGTACATTCAGAAGAAAATTAGTTCAGTTGATTAACACGCAATGAGCATATTCAATTTTTAGTAATTACTTCGTTACTTACTGAACAGTTTATACCTTAATAATAGATAACTTACATTATGTAATTTAAGTTTTGTTTGATGCCTTTTTCCATTAATATGATCATCCCACATTTGTTGACTATTACAAATAACGTTACATAAATGACAAATATATTTGTTTATTGCTGGCAAAGATGTTGTTGATTTCTCTTCCGACGAAGAAACTTCTACTTTTTGATTTTGATTATTCTGTGCTAATGTTTCTTGTTTTCTCCGACAAAGTTCTTCATATGTTAGTTGTTTATATTCAGCATTTTTCTACAATAAACAAATAGAATATGAATTGATATATAAACTTTTAACTTACACTAAGTATCTCTTTTAATACCAGTTTATGTTTTTTACCTTCGACATGACTGTAATAATCCTTAAGACCACTTAATAATACTGAACAAATATCACAGACTGCTGCATGATATTTAACTGGCTTATTAATTTTAATTTTTTTAACATCATTCTGTGTTGATTTTGATTTTATTTTATTTTGTATTTCTTCGATATCATTTTGATCAATCGTAAATGCGTTTTCATCACTACTTTTTACCGCAGAAAAATCTTTGAATAGTGGATAGGAATCCATATCAACTTGACTTGCTTCTGACTATTTTAAACGGAAAAATAGAACTATAATATTTTTCCGAAATATATATATATATTGACAACAATCGTACCTTTACTGTATCGGCCATTTAAAAAAGTTAATTGAAAAAAATAATTATAATCTAAAACAATATTCAAAGACTAAATTATTCTTGTATGTATATATTCGATGGTATACTTTATTATTTAGAATAAAAACCCGAACAACTACAATATTAATAATATTTAAATATAAAACAAAATGGACGGATTAAATTGAACATATAGATATGCACATTCGTAGCATTCAAATTTTAGAAAGAAAAAACAAACAATCTGATCGTTTAAAAATAAACGATAATGTCAAAATTCGACACCATATTTATCGAAACCACGAACAATAATATGTAAACGTAAGTGTACTTTGCCCATAGATACTGTTCGTAATTTGTAAAGTTCAGCACTTGATGAAACCAAATCAGGATTCTAAAATATCAAGTAAAATCTAACTATATATCAAATATTTGGTTTTTTTCATTATCCGAGAAGAAAAAACACACTCAAAATTCTTTGATGATAGTATAACTATTTGTACTGTACTGTTGAATGTGTGTACTTACTTTTAGTTGAGAACTACCTCCAATAAATTGTGTTTTAAGTTCTTCAATGAGAGTACCTTTTGGTCTCCATGTAACACAATCAATTTCATGAGCACCTGGACTAACTGGAATATGACAAAAACCATAACTATATAATTCATTACGTCCATAGGCATCTTGATGCCATACTTGTAACTAATAATAAAATGAAAAGTATACGAAAATAAATTGAATAGAAGAATATTTATGATTGCTTACATGAAATTTTGGCCAACCTATAAAATAAAAAAATATGAAAATTTAAGATAAAATATTCATGATCGTCACGGTTCAATAGTCATTTTCAAAACGTTATATTTTCACACTGTTACGTCATTGCTCACATGTTACTTTTTTCTATTTTATTTACCTTGTAAGCCTTTCGTACCAAAATGAATATCAATTGGATGACACCAATTGGCTATCGGCTCATCTGATGGATCATCAACTTGGGTTTGACCTTCATGATGGCCTTGTATAACATGCCATGCACTTCCCATTTGTACTTTCCATTTACAGAAAAGACTTGATTCAGGAAAGCCACTTCCACCAACTATCTGTCCAATTACATGTACTTCAGTCATGATTTTATTTGATTAAGTAAAACAGACGATTGAATAGTTAGTTATCATACATAGGTAGACAGTTACTATCCGATTTCAATTGGTTGCTATCGACCGACATTATTACAGAATAATATCCTCCACAAAAGATGTCTCTTTTTATATAGATGGTGAAGCAAAAGAAGTTTTATTAAACTGCGCTACTTTGAAGTGTGAAATAAATATTAAAGTGTATGAAATGTTTCTCAAAAGTCTTTCTTGAGATAAAAGATAATAATATATTAAATACAAGGATGCATATAACTAAAAGTTAATATTTTTTTATTACATTTGTTATCATTCGATCGTATCATTGTTACTGATAAAATATATTTTTAAGCGCTTATCTAATCGAAAATATTGATGAACTGTTCTTGTTGATATGTAACAAAATGATTAATGTACTCAAATAATTAATTAGAATATATATTTTATTTCCATAATGCATTCATATCACCTCGACAAATTTTGTATTAATAGTTTCTCTTTTTTTTATAGCTATACGTATTACTGAAATTTACGCTCTAGATAGTATCATTGATTGAGTAAGTTTACTTGTATAGTTAGTTACTTCTTTATACAAAAGTTAACATAGGTACATTCGTCATATCTTCTGATTTCATAAGACAAACTCTTGTCTTTGTATGGAAAAAGAAAAGATATTGATTATCAAGTTTGAGAAAATTATAGAAGGTATACGCGAAGAGCCATGATGCTTTGAGGGCAATCTAATTTACATTATGTTTTTAATCATAAACTAGATTCATATGCACCGTTTTTACAATATTTTTTCAACAAAGATTTAAGGAGTATTATGTCTAAAATAGCTGCTAAAAAATGCACAATTTTCAAATGCTAAGTGGTAGATAATAACACAAAAGAGTAGCTATTTTTGTTATAAGTATTTTGTGTATTAACTGTAATAATGTAGTTTTCCTTGAGGTGTTCGTGAACCTAATTTATAAGAATGTATCTTTACTATCATAATTTCGGTGACTCTTAAATCATTTATTCGCTCATTGATCATTCATAGAATCAATTGAATAAATTCGTAAAAAAATAAAGAGTATATATTTATTCTTTTCTAGTAGATCTTATTATTACATTACAAAAAAGTCAGAATTATCTATAGATTTTAGAATATAATAATATATTTCTTGCTCACATGACTATTCTAGTCAAAAATGAAGGAATTGATCATCATACGTGTGAATAAAGTTTTTCAATTCCTTCAGTTATTATTAAAATAAATAAACAACGCGTATTCTATCACGTATAAAAACATTGCAAAAACATATGCACGTTTATTTGTGTCATTATCAGTAAATATTTGAGAAGTTTTACATGATAAGCTCTTACACGTATGTACCAAAACATATATGTTGATTGATGAATTATTTTTTTAACTCGAGAAATGTATATTTATATATAGTCAACAGTGTGAATCATAAACATTATCATCATTTTTTTTTATAAAATAATTCATTCTTTTTTATTATATAAACTACATGACAAAATAAATATTTCCTTTTTAATATCGTTCAAAAATCGGTATATCTTCAATAGTTACTGGATATGTATGTGTTTGTTGACCATCATAAATTTGCTGTGTATGAATACATTGCCATTTTCCTTGTGGTAAATAGATTTTTAATTCTGTAATATTTTCTTCAAGTACTGGTGCAATAAGTAAATTATTCCCTAACATATATTCATTATCACAGATTTGTGCTTTCATATCATATGGATCAGAAAACCATAATGGTCGAATCATTGGTGTTCCATATTGAACACATTCTTCAGCTGTTGATAGTAGAATTGAACGATAATGTTCACGTATTTCAAGACATTTATGAGCTATACGAATAACTTGTTCATCATTATAAAGCCAAGGTGGAAAAGAAAATTGTATGGCTGGTAGAAGAACATTTAATTGAAGCCAACGTATATATAATTCACGTTGTGGTAAACGTGTTTGAGTTATTGTTAAACCATAACCATTTCCACCAACCTATGAATAAGAACATAAATAATCAAGTTGAATATAGAAAAACTTACCATATCTGGTAAAATAAATGGATAACCAAGAAGACTTAAATTGAAAATACTTGGTAATAATGATCGTAAACCATTTTTATATGACCAATGTGAATCTTTATCAATAATTCTAACAAATATAGGTAATGTTTGTGTACGATAAGCAATTCGTACTTCTTGTAAACGATTATTTTCATCAATACGATGTGCAAGTTGTGCATATAAATACGGATAAAGTACAGGACTAGTTATTAATGTTGTTTTATCTTCAGATACTTGTTGACAAGATGAATTTGTAAATGAACTCAATATGGGTAACCAATTAACTTCACCCGCATCAAATTTAAAACTATCAATATCATAGAGTTTTTGAAGACGTTGTAAATTTAATGTAAATTCTTCTCGTGCCGATTCATTTGTTAGATCTAAAACACCAGCTAAACCATTCCACCATAATGAAATACCTGGTAATGAAAAAGGAAATCTTCGATGAATATGTTTTATTAACTTCATGAAAGGTTGAAAAACTGGATTAGATAAAAAGTCATCGAAGACAACTTGTAAAAATCGACTACGTTCAATAACTAATTCGATTATAGATGGTATAATATTCATATTAATTAATAAATTACGACGCCAATAATCAATAAATTGATATGAGTTACATGATATAAATGGATGAATCCAGAGTGTAACACGAAAATTAAGTTTCTTCAATTCTATGATCATCTGTTTAGGATCAGGAAATTTTTTTTCATCAAAATCTAATGTTCCCTAAAAGCAAAAAAAATAGTTTTCTTTTAGAACTATGAAAAGATAAACCGTACATAATGCGGTGTCCAATTATCATCAATACAAATTTGAGAACGTGGAAAATTTCGTTTAACAATTTCTTCAGCATAATTTAATATTTTTTCTGTATTAATATTTTGTTTAAATTGTGCCCATGTTGACCAAATTGGTTCAATTATCATACGATGATCAGGTGTATGCATTGGTTTACCTAAATGACGATTAATCATTGTTATATGAAGATCCCGCATATTAACATGTTGCAAAAGTTTATATTGAAATTTATGTGGAATAAAAGCTTTTTGTCGATATGGTGTTCGATATTCTGAATATAATTCAAGATGTTTTGTATTCATTGATACAAATAATGGTACAAGTGGATCAACAAATAATGCTACGCCAAGTGATGATAACCAATAACGTTCACATACACTACCAAACATATTTCTATTGAATATAAAAAATTTTCACAACAAAAAATATCAATTGTAAATTTACTTATATGCATCGTTTGGAATCATTGCTTGAGATTTGGTTACAAATTGATTGATAGGCCAATATACTGTTTTTTGTGTAGCACCACCATACCAATAACCAGTATCGGTTAAATTAAATTTATCGGTAAAACGTGTTCGATAATGTGAACTAGACCAAAGAAATGTATATTCATGTACGAAATATGTTCGTTTTGTTTGAGAACTTTAAAAATAGAGAAAAGTTTTTTTATATTGATTAATGAAAGAAAGTTGAGATTTTAAATTCTAACCTTTTCTGTTCAATATATTCATGTTTAATAGTTAAAAGAATATGTGCTTTAGTAAAAATAAAATTAATTTGTTCATCCTGTATATCTAATGAACTTATCTTATATCGTTGAGCATTCAATTGTGCTAATTCAATAGGTTGTTTTTCTAAAGGTGATATTTGAATATTCAATGCAATAAGTCCACTATTAGTTATTTCAAATGACAATGTATGAAAAGTAAATGAACGATTTTGTAATTCATTATTGATTTCTCGTCTATTTCGAGAACGACATCGAACAAAATACCAATAATACCAAATAGCAAAAGCACATAGCAAACCAATGAAAATAATAGATAGAATAGTTGAATAAATAAAAAATCGAAAGCCAAACCACAACCAACCTCGTGTATCTATCATAGTTTTTGTTTCTAAATGTTGTATTTTACTAAATACCCTCTATGTTTTTTTTTCTTATCACCACTCTGATATGTGTAATAAAGAATCTGCAATAGACATTGTCAAAGGTGAAAGTCTTTTTGTTTATCTCTCAATGATCTTCTTTTCTTTTTTTTTTTAAATAACTTTTGTTCATTATTTTTGCTGCAGACTTTTTCTGATGTGTATATGCTGAAAAAAGAGAGAGAACGAAGCCAAAGAACGAGAGAGAGAGAGAGAGAGAGAAAAAAACTGAAGGACAAAAAAATGTGTGTATGACGCGATTGACAATATAAGAGTAAAGCTGTTCTTTCCTAGATGATCAAATGAACAATACACACACACACATACAAACACACATTTATATATTTATATATAGAACAGCGACATAAGTGAGAGAAATCCACACAGACATACACAAGGGAAGTTTAGGTCCCAGGAAATAAGGAAAGAAAAGAATAGTGTACAAAAGCATGTTGAAAAACGAAAAAGAGATGCAGCGGTGACGACACACACACACACACACGCACGCACTAAAGCCGATTGGGTGATTTTTCTTTTTTTTTTTCTTTTTAATCACACAAACAGGTTGTTCATACTATGATGGTATATCTTAATATAGTAACAATAAGTTTTTCTTCTTATTGATGTTGTTCTCTCGTCAATATATAAGAAGAATTAAAGAATTAAAAGAAGCCACCGATACACAGACGCACACACACACACACACACACGTATATTACGACAATAATGAAGTGAGAAAAAAGAGAAAATTTAACGAAGATGTCGTTTAAGAATGATCTTTATTTATTGAATCACCGCCAGTTGCCGTCTGTTCATCGAGGCTGTTCATAATATCACCTTCAGTTGGTCCATTAACGTTCGTTGCTGCTGCTACTGCTGTTGATACAGTCGAAGGTGGTGGACTATTATTTGAACGATTCGTAGTTGCTACAAGTTTATCATTGCTAGTAGGTGTTGTCAATGATGTTCCTGTTGTACTATTACTCCCATTATCGGCATTTGAAGTTGAAGTATTAACTGTTGAATTTGATGATGTTCCACCACTAGCTATTACTGTTTGTTGACCTTGCATATGTGCAGGAATTAAACGAGAATTGAGCGATGGATTAATATTTAGTTCTAAACAAATGAGGAGAAAAAAATCGATATAATATAAAAAAACAAAAATGAAAGAAGAACTACAAACCTTGTTGGCTAAAATTAAAAAGTAGTGGAAGAGAACCGTTAGTTAATCGTGTATCTGGATCACGTAATTCATCAAAGAATGCATGAGCACAAGCTTCAAGTGGTGTTAAACGAGTTGCTGGTGTATAATCGAGTAAACGACATACTAAATCAATTGCCATCGGTGGTGTGCGATTACGAAAAACCTAAGAAAAAAAACAAAAAAAGATATTTTTGTCTTATGAAAAAAACAGAAGCCATAATAGTTTGTTTTTGTTAATTACCTTATTCCATGGATGTGCTTTTATCTGTGGAAAACGAAATTCTTGATAATTCGGATTCATTTGTCGAATCTGTTCACGAGTCGGTGTACCTAATACTTTTATAATTTCTACTAATTGATCGACTCCACTTTCACCTGGAAATATCGGTTGACCAAGAAGAAGCTCAGCAAAAACACATCCAGATGACCAAACATCTATATAACATGTATAATCAATTGCGCCAAATATTAATTCCGGTGCACGATAATAACGCGAACAAATGTATGAAACATTTGGTTCACCTTTTATTAATTGTTTTGCACTATAAAACAAATGAATGAATGAATGAATGAATATTAATTTTCTTTTAACAGAAAACAATTACCTTCCAAAATCGCATAATTTTAATATAGATGTTTCGGGATCCAGTAATAAATTTTGTGGTTTAATGTCTCTATGACAAATTCCAAATGAATGTATATAAGCCAATGCACGAAATAATTGGTACATATACAACTAAATAATAGAATATATAAAGATGTTTATCTCTATTCGATTAATTTATACTTTGACATAAAGTAGCGGAATGGTTTGCTTCTGTTTTGTATAATGTCGTGCTACACGATAGACCGTTTCCGGGATAAATTCAAGCACGAGATTTAAATACACTTCTTCTTTAAGCTATGAGAAAGAGATAGAGATTATATTTATCTGGT